GTAAACACATACTACTTAAGTAGCCACTTTTCACAGTGCATACTTTTTATTGGCGGTCAGAAAGAAGCTCGTTAAAAAGCCGGCATCCTGATGTGACCAAAATATACTGAAATTAGGCTGTACGATCGTCATTGTCACAAGCATACGCAATTAATATGTTTGAATCGAAAACGTATTTAAGAATTCCGGATGACATTTCATGAGATAGGAAATCTACTGTATGTGGGAAATAAAATAAATTCAGACATGAAGTGGTAAGGAGTGTTAATACTTTATAGACTTTCTCGATTCAGTCCTAGTTGATTCACCAGAATAGACGCGCTCGAGGTCAAAGATTATGCCAGAAGGCAGTCTGTATAACTCGGATTTCCTTTGTGGTTCTATAGTATTAAACATTAATATTAACAGAGGACGCTAGAGTTGACGAGGCGGGGTAGAAAATTTGAAAAGTGGACTAATTGGAGGTTAATAAATGAACAGTTGTGCGAATAAAGTCAAGGTTTAGTTGTCGGATTAAGAGCGAACGAAAAAAGAACAACGAAAAAAACGATTGGAATCGACGAATACGAATGCAACGAACGGGGACAATAGGAATCGGAGTGACGAAGCAGAAACAAACAAAGAATACTTCGGATAAAGTCCGATTACTATAAAGCAGTTAGTAGTAAATGAAAAAAAAACACAACATTGGTGGGCTGAAAACTTACAAGGAGTTTATCTACTGGGAACAAGTGGGGGGAGGGGGGGTAGGAGTTACTTAGCACATGCTCACTCCTAGCACAATGCGAGGGTAACAACGTGGCAGCAGACCTGGACAGTTCTATACATGTTCTTTGCCAGCGCCGGATACCGAAAGTCCAAAGATCCCTTCCAAGTCCTGACGGACTGAGTCAAGCCAGGTGTTGAACTGACTCCCTCTTCGAGGGTTTCAACTAGGTAACGGTTCCGGGTCGAGAGCAGTAACACTGAGCTCGTGAGGCTGGTGACAGAGAAAGTGCCCA